CGTGCGGCCTTCGGACCGGGCCGGGCCTCGTCCTGGCTTGGCAGAAGCCTGCTGGGAGAGCTGCGTGTGCGGGGTGACGGGCTGTGTGCGGGGGGCGCCCTGCGCTACGCGAAAGCAGCGTGTGCCTGCTGCTCGTTGTGTTGAAGGGAAGCTGTGAAATGCAGCGGTTACGGTCATCCGCGGTGAGAGCGCAGGAGGTGAGCGCCGGGCCAGCGCGGTGCGCTCCCCTCGGTTGGGTGTGATTCGCTACGGCGTCGTGTCTCTCTGTGCGTTGCTGTGATGTAGCTAGCTCTGATCGCTTCTTAATTACCTCGTGTAATTGGGAAGACTTAACGTTATCGTTATTCTGGGAAGAGGCGAGACCGCGTCCGTCTGGAGTCTTGGCTCACCGTGGTTTTTGTTTCGAGGGACAGGGTTGAATCCGAGAGGGAGACTTGCATGGGAGCTGCTGTGAGAACTCGTTTCTGAACATCTGATACTTTTAATAGTACATGTCCACACCTACTTTCTGAACAGTTGATACTTTTAATTGAACATCTCCACGCCTAGATCACTGAACAAGCTTAGGTGAATAAGGAGTGGAGATGCATGTAATTTTCCCCACCTCAGAATTAGGGCATGTATACACTGAAACTATGCGAGCCTTGAACCTTTGAAACTCAGAACAGAACTCCGGGTGATATCTCTGATAGAATTCATCGAGTTTAGGTTAGTTAGACGTACGTGTGCTTTATCTCTTGCTCTTGAAAGATGCTCCGACATATTCAAAATAAATCATGGCTGGTTGTTGAAGCCTTGTTCACCTTTCTGTAACTGTTGAAAGTCCTGCTTGATTTCCAAAGTATTTTTGATGTAGGGCATTAGCCTCCTAGTTAACTCTGTTGGCAGAAGCCGTGATATAAAGAAGAAAAATAATGTATGTTTTTGCAGCTTTCCTTCTTTTTTGAAGCCTGTAGTGGTTCTCGTGGCTAACTGTAGCAGTTGTTCCTAAACAGTATACAGACTTCAGGTTCGGACTCTTGGTAGTTGTTAGATTTGGTATGTATAAGAAGCTGCAAATATGAATTAATTCCTTTTTTTATTAAAACAGGATATTAATAGTCTAGTGCAGACAAGGCTTGGGGCTGAAAACTTGTCAAGTTTTGTTACCTGTGCATCTGCTTCTATGCGTCCAACAGTTTGATTTTGACTTTGGAAACCAGGATATGGAGATGTACTGATAGACTGAAGATGATGCAGCTTTTAGTGATTACTGAATGTGTTGAACAAATTTTCCACTTCCAGATTTCCATTTTATAATAAGGGCTGTTACAAAAACCAGTAATTCGTCCTGTGTGTAGCATGACCATATTTTTGCTTTAAAGTCTATAGTATGAACACAAAGTACTAATACGATTAGTAAAAATCATACTGATACATGTAAGCCATGAGTATTCAGGATGTATTTCTTTTCTACATCTGTGATTTAAACATATAGTCTTGCTTCTTTCCATAATGATGACCAAGTGTCTTCCCATCCTCTGAAGTCTTGGCATTAGAGGCTTAGTTTTAAATTGGTTAACGTGATTGTTTTGCTGCTAGTTTATTTTATTACTGGTTCAAAAAAAGACAAATGGAAAGCAGCAAAATGACTTAGTCTGGCCACAGGGTGTTTCTACTTGTAAATAAATACGCAATTGATTAATAATGAATGAGAGGACAAGACTATCATTAATGCTATCTACATCGTTTTATGGAAAACAGGTCTTCTCAAGCAGTCCTGACCTCTGTCTCTTAAAAGTTTGACTGATAAAGGTAATTAAAGGGTGTTAGTAATGCTTACAAAGTTAAAATGCTTAGTTCAGTAGAACATAAAATTATAACTTTAAAATATTTTTTTCTAATGTAGCGTGAGAGTGTTAGACTAAAACTAGAAAACTAATATATCGGAATCACTGGAGAACTGTCCCTTTGCTAGTGGGATTGTGGAGGAGTCAGTACCCAACCTGATTCTATTCATTGCTTGCTTCAGGGGTTCGAAAGTATACATGAAATAATTCATTAAAAACGTGTGAGTGGTAAAAAATATTAGTAGAATGGTAGCTAATAATGGCAGGACACTCGTATGTACTGTTTTTCATTACAGTCCACTGAAACAACCACATACGTTTCAGTGCTTCCTAAACTTGAGCGAGGCTCATTCCACTTAATCACTTTCACAGCTGAAGATCTTATTTTTGTTATTTGACCCACTGAGCAGACTAATGAGGGAAGATTCTTCATGTAGATTTGTTTTGATGTCTAGTTGGCTGTTCTCTCATGTCTTGCTATTGGTTGATTCCAAAGTCCAGTTTCTTTCTATTTTTCTTTTTTAAAGAACATGGAGGAAGGATATCTGAATTTGAGGTTTATTTTTTCTGCAGGAGGGGATGTGTGTGTGTGTCTGTGTGTGTGTGTGTGTCTGTGTGTGTGTGTGTGTCTGTGTGTGTGTGTGTGTCTGTGTGTGTGTGTGTGTCTGTGTGTGTGTGTGAAGAATCTGCGGAGTTACTCATACCAGAAGTCTCGGCGCCTCTGGTTACTTTTGAGATACCTGACAACCGTCTTAATTCACAAAGTGTGTTCTTTCTGCTTTGCTAATCATATTTTGCTGGCTTTATTTCCCTTTAGCAAGCTTTGCTTTTATGTAGGAAATGCCCACCTTCAGCTTAATCGGTTTGGCTATAAACATTTAAACACTAGGTGTCACTGTTGCAGTTTGTATGTACATACTTGTATTCATACGTATGTATTTCTGTATATATGTGTGCATATAATATATAGGTTTTTTTGTACTGAAATCTTTTCTCGGGAACCTCATTTTGACTTTAAATCATCAAAATATTCATTCATCTAATAATAAATTACCAAGGCTGTCTTATCTCTTTTACCTAACCCTTTAAATCATTGCTGAGAGGAACAAACACTTGCACTATATACTTTCTAATAAATTCTGATAAGCTTATTATGCTGGTGCATACTTTCTTGGGCGCTGTCCTGAGGAATCAGTTGTAACAGCAAGCAGCGCATGGACCTGAACTCTAGTAGCATTTACGCATGGAGGAAATTCGAGTCGTGATAGGTTTTCACTAGAAAAAGAAACTCTGATACCTCTTTTACTTTCTTTCTCTAGGTTCTGAGTTAAGCTCAGGGCTCCCTGAAGACAGCTACTCTTCAGGAGGTGAAGTCTTGGAGGGTGATGATGAGGATGAAACAGCAGCCCCTGGCAACGTGGTGGAAGAGGCATCGAGCTCGAAAGCTGGCCCAGGTGCAGGATGGGCAGATGCCATGGCAAAAGTGCTCAACAAAAAGATTCCACAAAATAAGTCCATCATCTTGGCTAAAAGTAAAAAGCTGGAGAAAGAGAGAGAAAAGGAAAAACAGGAAAGATTGGAGAAGAGGAGGAAGGTGAGAAAGAGCATTTCCCTGTACAGTCACAATCCAATGAGGATGTGCCCAGGATCCCCTAAGCAGGGATTTGGGAGAGCTCTCAGAGATTCTCTCCATTTTGAAATCTCTTCTGCACCGTGATCTCAAGCAGCTTGAATTTTTTGACCTTCCAGGACGGGCCTTCTGTAAGGCCTTTTCCTTTACTGTTTTTTCTGGGCCATCACAGAGGCTCGTCCTTGGCAGCAGGACTATTGCAATCAGTTTTGCTCTCAGCCTAAGGTATTTTTGCTGTTGAGGGAATGCAAAGCAGTTGCTTTGAAGCTCAGTTTCCTAATGGCTACTCTTAATCTAGGATGTAAATGGCTTCCTGGGCATTACAAATGAAAATAATTCTGTCTTTCTGACATAGGTGAGAGGGAGAAAGGTTAAAAAACTGTTTTCCGTTAAGTCCTCCTATGACTTCCAAAATCAAAGGCCTCTAGGTTGAAATTGCAGTAATCCTTTATGTGCTTGTGAATCACTGTGTTTGCTCCCCTCTCTGATTTTCCTGATAGCAGTTTTCTGTAGCTGAAGCCATGTTCTGAAGAACTTATGGTTCTGAAACTGTTATGAGGAAGACAAAACTATGTTGACAATTTAGTAGTTTGTATGTCTTTTGGTGGAACTTGAATTTCAGATTATAACTGATTTCTTTTCAGGCTAAAAAGTTATAAATACTTCTTATATGTCTTCTTAACAGTTCTATTCTAATAGAACTAGAATGGAATAGATAACCGGGCTATCTGTCTGATAGTCTGGGACATATTGTGGTTAGGCCATGGCCTGCCTTTAAGATACAGAGGACTGCAGTAGGGCATTTAGTCAGTTATGGTTGTCCTAAATACCTGGTTCTATCCAGTACTGCAAAGCAGAGGTGGACTGCAAGGCTCTAAACTGATTTGTTCACCCTTAGAAAAACGTGAAAACAGTCTGCCTCTTATTAATTTCTTTCTGATGGAAGCTAGATTGGGGCAGTTCCTTTCATCAAAGGCCAAAGCATGGTCATAAACTCATGTATTCATAGCAGTCTGCCTGGAATTCTAAAGATAAGGACTCTGTAATTCCCTGAAAGACTCTTTGTGTGGCACAGAATTAATGCAACATCGCCATGACTAGAACACTGCTAAATTGTTAGGAGGGGAAAAAAAAAAAAAAAGGTCACCATTGTTACTTTGCTCTTGAAGCAAGGGCTGGGGAAATACAACTTTCTACTATTGCAATGGGAATATACAGCCAGCATTGCTGTGGCTGATGATAATAGTGAGGAAAGAATGATTTTTTTCTGTTTTGAAGCTCATTGTTTCAAGAACCAAACTGATCGATGTCGTGCATGATAGTACTTCTCCAGTGGGTGCTCTGTACTCTTCTTCGTGTTTGGGTTCTGTCCTTTGTAGTCTTTACCATGTGGCATTGTTGATCACAGAGCTGTATTGTGATTAATTCAGCTGGGGAAGTAAAATTCTTGAGGCCCAAAGTGTGACATGCATGCCTTGATAGGTCCAGGATTTTATTATGTATAAATTGCTCTGTGATCAGTTTATGAAGGCTTGGAGGATTGGGTTGAAAGCTCTCTGCGAATAATTCCCTTGTCCCTAGCAGTCAGTGTGAAGGTGTTTGGGTTTTCCCTGGACTCCTTTTGCTTATCTCCAGCTGGAGGTGTCGCTGAGGTGTGACTCTGATCTCTTTTGTTACAGAGGCAAGTGATTGTCTGAGATTTGATTGGGGCCCCTTATGTGCCAGTGCAAGAAACTTCCCTAGGACCCATTGTCCAGCCCTTTAAAAACATTCTGGAGCTCCCTTTACCCTCAAGCAAACTGAGCTTCGTTGATTTATCATTTTTTCCCTCTTGCTACATATTCCATCAGTGCGTGCTACGTTCTCAAATGCTCCATGTTCTTTCACATAACCGTATTTATAACACAGCTCGATAAAAAGCGGGAGTGGGAAATGATGTGCCGAGTGAAGCCAGATGTTGTCAAAGACAGAGACAGAGAGAGAAATCTTCAGAGAATTGCCACGAGGTAAGAGGCGCTTTTTTTTTTTTTTGAATGCTTTCTTTAAATATATGTATATCTTAAAGGAGGAAAAGAGGGGGAGAAAAAAAGCAAAAAAGCCGGTGTAGGTAATCTGTTTCCAATCAGATTGAACTCTTAAGAAGTGACTAGCAGGAGCCAAGTGATTTATATACAGGTCTACATTGTACAGTATCAAGTTCAGCAAAAGATTTCAGAAGCTTTATGAAAGCGTAAAAACTTAGACTAGGATGTAATGTTTGCTTAGAGGTGCTTAACTGGAGCACCTTACTTTGTTAGTTTTATACTCTAAAAACACAGAACAATTGCTTCTACCTTTTTTTGTGTATTTATTTTTTTGTCTTCTCCATGCAGTATTCACTGGACTCCCTTTTCTTGTGTTCAGTTGCCTGTTTTGCATTACAGTAGCTTGGTGCACAGAACTAGCTGAACTCCTCACTCGTGTTCTGCCTACATATGCTTGTCTTCTTACAGGACTCACTCTTCCACTCTGTCCCCCTACTTCTGCTGCTCTTAATATGTTGTCTAAGGGATTTAACAGCTGATTGTAGGAAGAGTAACATACTTCTAGGGATGGCACAATCTCTTGCGTTAGTCTTGGGACAGTGTACCATCCTTATATTGGGGTCTGAATAGTTACAGAGCTAAAGTGCATGAAAGCCTCTTACCTTGCAGTGAGTGTTACTGCTTAACTGAATTGAGGTTCTAAGTAACTGCTTTTGGAGCTAGAAGCCTTCTAGCATCTGTGCTGAGTAGGTGCTTTGGTAGAAGGTTCATTTCTGTAAAGACAACTTGGTGTAAAAAGTGGTGGATGTGTTTTGCTTTTTGTTTCTCCCTCTCCTCCTCCCATTCCAGAGGTGTTGTACAGTTATTTAATGCTGTCAGGACGCACCAGAAGAACGTTGATGAAAAAGTGAAGAAAGCTGGGAGGTCTGACAGGCAGCGTGCTAAACTGATGTCATCTGTTTCAAAGAAAGACTTCATTAATGTTCTGCGAAGCATGGAAGGTGCTAAAGGAAACCAGAATCCCTCTGGAAAGGCCACAAAAAGTAAACAGGTAGCTTCATCTTAGTGAAATAACTCATATGAGCTCTTTTCCCGGTATAATTATGCCTGCTCCCTAGAACAGCTGTTATCCAAGTGTCTGGGGTTTTTTGAAGCTAACTGGGGACGGAGTGTCTCTGAGCATATTTTCCCTCTCTTTTTGAATAACAAAATACAGAACAGTGGAAGCTGTCTTGTTGGACATCAAGCCTTGTGTATGAATAAGTTTATCTGTATTTAAAAAAATTAAATTAAAAAAATGGACTTTATCTTGGAATTTACACCAAGCATGTGATAGAAACTGCTAGATTTGAATGGGTTTGTGAAATTTGGAATTTGGACAATAATAGTGAACAGCCTTTTAATATTGTAAAAGGCATGGTGGCTCCCGTGGTAAGTCTAGATTTTAGATGATATGGTGGACCATACAACTTGTGTGTATGCACGGTTTTGGGTGTTTGGAACTCCCTTGCTCTGAATGATTATGGTAGCTGGAACTGAAAAGCTTTACCATACACGCAAATATTATGATGGAAAGAAACTGTATTATGATGGAACAAAACTATAATGATGGCCTATTAAGAGACATA